GAATCGTCAAGAGAGAAAATAAAGACCTTCGGCTAAAGGCAATAAAAAGTCGCTTCAGGCTAAAAATCCAACAATGTCATTCTCATTGTAGATGAAAAACACAAAGCAGATACAAACTAGGACAGCACTTGATATCTGAAATAATCAAAACTTACTTAACGCTGGCTGCTGTAAATTCTCCTCGAACGTGGCGTGATAACAGGTAGCCAATCAGCAATGAATAATGTTTCTGCAGGAGCAGGGACGGCGATCAAACGGGCGTATCGTTTTGGCATGGGCATGACTGATGGGCAAATCACGAGAGTTCGTCCTTTATCAGCATCACATGAGCTGACTTCTGTTGGCAATTGGCACTTCTAACAGAACGACAACGACACGACACGTGGTTCATTCACGGCACTACACAAAGCCAGTTATTTACACAGGCTAAGAACGGTGTCAACTGTTTGATCATCGTCGCCGTGCTTTACGCTGCGACCGCTGAACCCGCCTTCGATAAAATGTACATCTTTCACGGCCATAACGCCTTAAAATACAAATTAAACTATCTTACACGTGTAAGAAGGGGTCGCGGTACTGTAAAAGAACTTTAACAAGGCGCCTTCATTCAACTTTAGCACTTCCGATCCCAAGCCATGGCGGAGAAGGTGGACATAAACTTAGAATCGGCAAGAATCTGCAGAGTAAAGGAGTATGCTCTGTAGTAAGAAAGCAGCTTGGACCTGAACCACTGACGCAGCGAAATGACTTACACCGTGAATTTTCGATTCTCAGCCATTAGATATTATTGTATAATGTCATACTGGAGCTATCGTATTTAGTCGTTCCTTCTCCAGCAAGGTTCTAAAATATGAGCAAGACCTACTTGGCAAAAATTAATGGCATACAGTCAGGAAGCAGAAGGCGTGTCATGAACACTTAGCATTATCGCACAGTAGAGTGCAGTCAGCAGAGCTTGCTTCATTGTAGGAAGACTTCAATCACTGTGAAAATCTCCTGAATTTGATTCCCTAAAACCGCAACTCTACGATGATGGGTTCCAGCGCTCAAAGAGAACAGGAAGGTCAAAGAAGCTGCTGAGATTAGTTAAAGACCATCTGTCGCCAACGGAAACAGCATCTTTTCTCTGTTCTACTACCTTCGCGTCAGGTCACTAACAACACTACATTTTTGGATAGTACACTTTCAGAGCTGAACCACAACACATGACTGACATGTCCACAAATGCAAAACATGATTCTGCCGTCTCTTCGTCAATACTCTTGTAAGGGACTATTTCCAAAGAAACCGTTTAAATGACAGTTCAACTCTGAGCCCATAACTGACGAGTCGAATATTACATGAATTCATGGATGAGATACCTATTGAATAAGACACTGAAAACCATTTAACTCAGTTTTTACCTTTTCAGTGTGAAACACTTTCGAAGTGACACAAAATTCTACTCTATCTCATATTCAGACGTCTCAGTTTCCAGCACACAAGTCTTCATCCGGGATATTTTACAAAAGAAATACTGAAAAAAATGGAAACATCAAATGTAACTGACCAATGACATTCCAGAGATATTTTACTTACAGTCGACACATTTCATCGCCAACAAGGATAATGGTAGGATACTGTTGCCATGATAATACAACTATGATCTTCGTGTTGTCATTTCAATGACTCAAGAAGCACATAACATTGCAATGAACTCCTCTGACTCCTCACCCACGCTGCATCTGTCGAGTTGTTGTTTTGACGAAGTTCCCAATTTTCCGTGGTATCCTGCGATCAGCAGCCTACTT